TTCTCACTTTTACCCTTCTGATTCTCTCCCATATTCTCTGGATGGGCTGGGGATAGAGGAGTGAGCGAGCAGCTGTGTTTGGCTGCAGCCAAAGGAGTGAAACCCCCACAGCAGTCCATGCCTGACTGCCCAAATCTTCAGCCTTGCACAACTCTATGGCCAGGTGCCAGGAACTCAGCTTTATTTTGCATTTTGGAGCTTCTGTTGTAGGTTTTCAGTGAATATATTGCTGTTTCAACAGGTACTGCAATGGCTGCAGGAGTTCTGCTGCAAAATGAACTACCGTATTCTTCATTGCTAGAGAGCAGTCTATATCTTGCAAATATGAGTTCAGGTAATAATTTCTCTCTGATATGCCATTCATAAAAACTGCTTGGAGAAATTCTGAAAAAAAACCAACTATTTTCCATAAAAAATGAAAAAACCCAGAAATATCATCCCCAATTATAAACATAAAATGTCTATAACAAACCCAAACTGCATTACTTTACCATCACCACGATGTGTTAATATGTTGAGCTTTTCTTGTAGCTTCTGTATTGTCAGGTTTCTTAATTGAAGAAGCTGTGTGATTTTTGTGTTCAGGAACTGCCTAGCTCTTTGAAAATATAAACATGCCTTCAATAAAACACCCCTTTCTAAAAAAGTATTTAAACTCTTATAGAATGTAATTCTTTCTTACTATTTTGGATGAGTACCTGCAAATCCTGCTAGGTTCAGTAGGAAAATAATGATGTGCACCATTTTATTTTGTTCTGTTATGTTTATTTATTTCTGGCTCCACTATCATTTGATATATACTAAAGGAAAGTTTCTGGGAAGAGAAAGAGAAAAAGAATTAAATATAAAAAGGCAATGTAATTAGAAAACATTTTTCATGTTTCCTGGATATAGGTAGCACTTGAAATAACCTTTTAAATTTCCTTTCTCTTCCACCCAGTCCCCAAAATAAAAGCACATTTAAATATTTTCTCACCTCTTGACATCAGCTTTATTGTTGAATTAGAATAGTCAGAGTTTTGAGACAACAGCTAACAGAGTCAGCTTTAAAATTGTCCTTTTCTCACGTGTCACGGCTACTGATGTTTCAGGCCTGGTATCTACATCAAACCTTACTGTGTTTCCTTAAGAGCTGGGTGCAGTGTTCAAAATTCAGTCACTCAGTTCCTGTTCAGTACCTAGAAGAAACAGTACGTTTGTGCCTGATTAATTTTTATCAGAAGAACACTTTCTCTTATGCAGATTCCTCTGTAAGAGTTTTCATAGTACAAAAGAAACGTGAAACACAGACTGAAGACAGTATCCTTAGGAAAAGGCAATGGGATTACTTTGATTATTGATCAAATTATGGTAAATTTCTTGATTTCCCCATTGTCTCTCTCTTTAACATGCAGTTTAATGCACAGACAATGGGATGACAGAGTCTTTTTTAGCATTGCTATAGTCTGTTCTCCACATAGTTGCATGAGAATTTTGTGCTTTTGAGAGTGTTCCAATCTTTCTGGTCAGCTCAATCTCCTTGGCACACTGGAAGCAAAGTGGGAGGCAGTCTGCCACCTAATACCTACCTTCAAAAGCCTAAAGCATTCAACTGATTTATCTTCTCCTCCCCATCCTCTGCTTTCTCTCGGACTGTAGGGCTAACAGCTTTGCTTAATAAAAAAGCTGCGCCATGGAAGAAAAAAAAAAAAAAAAAGAAGCCTTTTGTTTTCAATAACAAATTGTGTTTTGTTAGAAGATAGAATAATCCAGAGCCAACAGTCTACAATTCATCGTGTACTGAACCATTTCGGTAGGAACACACTAATCCCAGTTATTACAGAGCTAATGATGCATTTTGGAACAACTAAGTGGAGGAGGAGAGGTGGTTGTGGAATGTTAAACCAGGAGGTGGGGGAGTATAATGTACTTGCAGATTTCTCAGGAAGCAGAGCCTCCAGCTACATTTTGATTGTTCTTTTGAATCTAGTGTTTTGTGTCTCAGGGAGTTCTGAATGCGTGTTCTTTACAACTAACTCAATACTCACATTGTTTCTGGAAAAAAATGTTTTGGTTGTTCCAAATCCGTTTGCAAAATTATCTACTTGAAATTCAACTATTTTCATCAGGCAGGGGGAACAGTTTGTCCCAACCAGACTCAATTCCTAGAGAACCCAGCAGCCCCAAGGATAGCTGGCAGCAGCGCCCTCATTGTTAGTTACTATGGAGACAGCTCAGCCCATGCTGACGAGCTGCTGGAGCCTACAGAAGGATGCTCAGCTCTCTGCAACTTCAGCGCTGAGCAACTTGGTTTTCCTACCAGTTCATCCCCAGCAGCCTTCCCAGGCGGTAGCTGGGGCTGGTCAGTCATGCAGGGTTCACCCCGAAGGCGCTCGGCAGTGAGTATTTTCAGCAGCTTTTTCCAGGGTCGGAGGCATTCTTCCTCCGATCCCCTTCTGCGTATGATCCAGAGGCGCCGGAGCTCAGTTGTAGAGGTGCTCTCATCATCGACTCACCGGGTTATGGTGGCGGTATCGTCTCTCAGCCCTGAGGAGCTGGATGCAACTTTTCCTGAAAAAAAAAGTAAAGTACTTTTCATTATGACTGTTGGCAGTTCTGGGTATTTTCTTGGTATTAAATTAATATACTTTTGTTCTGTTAAGTGTATTTTATATATATATGTATATATATATATATGCATAAAATACTGGGTTTTACTTTGTTTTCCTGTGTGTCGTATTTTGTTCAGGGATTCCTTATTCAAGGACTAATAAATGCTTTTCACTCTCACAGCTCGGTTATAGAGAACCGAGAGCACACGTTCACACATACACCAACTGTATGGCTAAGTATTTCCAGTGTCATGTGGAAGAGGATCATGACATTTTTTTCTCTTGCTAAGCATACTACACATGTCCAAGTTAATCAGAAAAAACAAAGTTACTGTGAGGAAAAAACAACTTCTGCAGTAATTCAAGCATTTTTTTCCCCTCAGAATCCTTAATTTAAGTCTGTGTTGACAAATGAGCTTTAATAATATCTCCATGCTGTTTGCAGTTTTAAGATTGAACTGATAGTTTTAAGGCAGAGATGAATTTCTAAGCTTCCTTACTAAATCTGGTTTTGCCTGTGTTCTAGGAAGTTTGAGGCGTCCAGCACCAAAATATACTAAAGTAGGGGAGCACCTTCGCCATGTCATTCCTGGTCCCGTGCAGTGTTCAGTGGGGTGTGGTGGCCGTGCTTGCAAGTATGAAAATCCAGCTCGATGGAGTGACCAGGAGCAAGCCATTAAAGGGGTCTACTCCTCTTGGTAATAAGCAGAATTTACTCTTGCTAAATGTAACTGCATCCCTTGTATTTATTAAAAGAGAGAATTCAAAGTAAAATAATGAGGGTTGGTTTTTTTTTAAAATCAGCTGCTGCTAAGTTAAATATAAAACATAATGATGGCTTGATTCAGAATTACAACTGCACAGTGAACCATAATGGCCGTTTTTTCGTAGCCCAGTAAAGATGATGAAAGACTTCTGTTTACTTACAGTTAGCTTGGTTCAGATAAAAAAAAAACAATCTATGAATTGTCAAAAAACTGTTCTGGATTGTAGACAGTTATTGCTAATGTTTAAAATGCAAATTACTTAAAATGTGTTCATAATGGAATTTAAAAGTAAAAACATTTACTGAAGATTAAGTAATGTAAGGTGTGTGTTCAAAAGCACATTAATATGCAGTAATATTCACACAAAGTGTATCTTTACATTCTTACTGATTTTTTTTGTAATGGCAAATGCTATTCAGAAGCCTATAAACCTTAAAGGGCCAAACAGATCTGAGTCCACATTTCTATTCAAAGGATTTTTTTAATATGTTCATTGGCCTGGCGTTTAAACAGTTCCAGTAATGATCTTGATATGTCATACCTGTATCAGCTTAACAGGATTTATCACTAACAGTACATGATAGTAGAATTTTTTAAAAAATTATTTCTAGTTAATCAGCAAGGTATTTCTGTCTTTCTTGGAAATAACATCATCTTCTTATTTTGGTAGATTAATACCCAGTAAATTATTAATAACAACATCATTATCTACTTTCCTAATTTCACAGGATAACAAATAACATACTGGCTATGGCTCGACCCTCAACAGAATTAATTGAAAAGTACAACATTATTGAACAGTTTGAAAGGTAACAAATTTAGTCATTATTTATTGTAGGTATGGTTGTGTGATTCCTGATCCGTTTTCTCTTTCAACATAGATTTGGATTGTTGATAAAGATCCTTTCATTTTAACGATATAGAGGTAAAGATTTATTCTCCACTAAGAATAAATGTGTGTTTCAAAAAATAGGGGATAATGAGATTTTGGCTGCATATAATACTTGGACTAATTTATTCCTTCCTTAAGATGTGGCATAAAAACCATAATTAACCTTCAGCGTGCTGGGGAGCATGCGAGCTGTGGGAATCCTCTGGAGCAAGAAAGCGGCTTCACCTACCTTCCTGAAGCTTTCATGGAGGCTGGAAGTAAGTTCCCTCCTGCTGCTATTCCTCATTAATTATTGATTTTGGCACTTAAAAGATATTTTTACTTGAATCCTGGTGTGTTAAAAGCAGCTATATAAGAGATGTTTTACAAAGTGGGAGGTACACATGAAACTTGGCAAATATAATCAAGAGCGAGTAACATATTATCCAAGGTCGTATGTATGTAGAGTGAGATGGAGGGTTTATATTTAGGTGTTTAGAATAAAGAAGGGACAACTGTTGGTTAATTTTTTCTTCTGAGTTCCCAAATTTATAAGACATTAATGGTGTTTCAAATTCTAGTACAATTCATGCTTTGTTATCTAGACTGTAAAAGCTTGTTTCATTTGAGGACATTTGTATTGACGGTATTTTTGTATTTTCATATTATGGTGAGGTGAGGAAAAAGTGCCTTTCTGTAAGAAACAGCTTTTGATGGAAGAAGTGCTTTTATTTCTAAAAAGAAAAAATTACCCTGCACCTATATATAGCTCAGTAATTTTTGTATGAATCACTCGGTTTTGTTACACCTTTTACATTCTAGCTGAACTTCAGTTTGCCAAATCTTTTCTAGCTTCATGTATTTATCAAATTTCAATAGCAAGCGTACTCTGAAATGGGAAAATAGTCTCTTGCAAACAATACATGGATTCCTAAGATCCATTATGCAGTTTCAGTTACTCTTATTAGTCATCTCTCCTCTGCATATAGTACTGAAAATTTCAGATTTGGTACAACAGAAAATAACTCTCTCTCTTTTTATTTCAGTTTATTTTTATAATTTTGGATGGAAGGATTATGGAGTGGCATCTCTCACCACTATACTTGATATGGTAAAGGTCATGGCTTTTGCGTTGCAGGAAGGGAGGGTAGCTGTTCATTGTCACGCAGGACTTGGGCGGACAGGTACGTGCTCTACTGCAAGGTCAACAGAATTGTTTTTTCTAAAAATGAAAAACAGTCTCTGCTTATAAATTATTAATAATTTGTTTAGATTTTATGTCACTGCAAGATGCACATCTATAAAATGGTTAAAAATGCGAAACACATTTGTGAAAATGATCTGAATGGCAGGAGGAGATCAGGTTTAGTATATTAAAGCAGTAACCTGTAAGGTTAGAAAATTTTTGAATCTGTATAATAATTCCCTGTTACATTCAAAGGGGACAGGTTCTTTCTGATGGGAAATTCACCTAGTACACTTCCATTTTCCAGTATGTATTACATGTGTATTACATGTAATACATAATGTTTGTTACATTACAAACCTGCCACTCGTTGTTAGATCAGGTAGATGTGGTGGAGCAGCTAAAATTTCACTTACTTCACTCCCTTTTGAGACCTTTTTGCCTATGTCCTTCCTGTAGAAGCCACCATTGCTCCTGTGTTCAGAAATGATGGAACTCCTCAAGATGCTGTGGTGAGAAACTAGCTCTCACTGAAAGTAGTGAGAATGGGTTTGCAACCTTGTGGTCCAATAAAGGCAGTTACACTTGGGTAACAGCATCACTTAATAGAGGGCATAAAGCCTGAATCTTTACCTGTATTAATTTTTATCCTGTAGTTCCACTGAATGTTTGTTTTAGTCTGTTAGTTCTTCACTAATGCTTGTTTTTATATTTTTCCAGGTGTTCTAATAGCTTGCTACTTAGTTTTTGCAACAAGAATGAGTGCTGATCAAGCCATTATTTTTGTCAGAGCAAAAAGGCCTAATTCTATTCAGACTAGAGGACAGTTGTTATGCGTCAGAGAATTCACCCAGTTTTTGGTTCCTCTGAGGAATGTATTTGCGTGCTGTGAGCCCAAGGTGCACACAGTGACACTGTCCCAGTACCTGACCCGTCAGAGACATCTGCTCCATGGTTATGAGAGTAGGCATCTCAAACACGTGCCAAAAATTATTCATCTAGTTTGCAAATTGTTGGTAGACTTGGCTGAAAACAGACAGGTGATAGAGGCAGAATTGTTAGATATACCAGATCTCTCTGCTGAAATTGAAAAGACTCTCTCTCAGTTGATGTCCACACAGCTAGATACAGAGCTTGCAAGGCAGGACAGTGACACGTCAGAGTCCTCCCACACCCACTCGTCCACTTTTGAGACCCGGGATTCTCTTTTTTCCCTGCGACACGAATGTGATCCTCTTTGGAAAAGAAGGAATGTTCAGCCTCTTACTCATATGAGAAGACGTCTAAGCTATAGTGACTCAGATTTAAGGAGAACTGAATTTCTTTTAGAACAAGGAGAAACTGCGTGGACAGTACCTGCTCAGATATTACTGTGCAACAAACATAAGCGGAACAGTGGTGAGGAATGTTCTGCCCCAGGCGAACAAAAGCCACAGTTGGATATAAACAAAGAAGCATTAGTGCGTAATACATCCATGTTCTGGAGTCAAGGTAAATTTAATTTGGATGGACAAAGAGATGGATCCTTGCATTACCACGGAAGGAACTCTACCAAAGAAGTACAACGCAGCAGAACCTTTTCTTCAGGTCTAGCATCTATCCACAACACCAGGGAGCCTGGAAAGCCAAGGCAGAACTTTACCAGTGAGGTTGGTCATAGAAAAGACTGCAAGACTAATATGTATAGCAGGAGAGTCTATGTCTCTGAGGACTCTGACTCTTCTTCTTCTAAAGTGCACTTTTCCATTGGATATGAAAGCCAAGGCAGCAAAAACGTGTCAGAGGCAATTCCACACATTGTTCTACAATCAGAATTAAGTTTGGAAGCCCGAAGAGTTTTGGCAGCAAAAGCACTTGCAGATATAAATGAATTTCTGGGAGAGGATGAAGTGAAGCAGAAGGTAGAAATGTGGCAGGTAATTTTTAACTTGATTCAATGTACGGACTCTGCATGTTTCACCTAGGGTTAATTCCTGGAATGGCAAAAATGCCACCACATGCTCTGAAATGGCACATTGGGATGCTGGTTTGTACTGTGGCTCAGTGCATGGTTATATCTGTCAGTTATGGGCCAGTTCTTTCAAAAGCAAGCAGATGCACCCACAGTTTTGGTCTCTAGCAGGAGGTTAGAACATTGTTTCTGGTTGAGCTCATTCATTTTACTAACTAATGAAAATTGATGCAATTATCTGTGGTTGTAACTTGGCTGCTGGCAGCACAACAGTACCGCAGATTTTGAGGTACAGTTGTGTTGTTTTCAATCAGTGCTTTCTCAGAACTAATCAAGAGGATTCTGTGTGTAAAAGAATTCAGTAGAAATGTAACTGCTTATCCTCAAAACCAGATCCTCCTAGCAACATTTGAAGTTGGAATCCAAAGCTGGTTTATGTGTTCTAGCAGGTAATTGGGAGGTTCTGAGCTGCACATCCTTCTGTTTTAAAGAATCATGGTATTACTGCTGATTAATGTTGATGCTTTAGAAAAAAATAGAAATACTGTGTTTTTTAAGTCTTTGGAATGTAAGCAGCCAAATACTGCTACAAGCAAAGAGAATGTTGCCAAAAGTAAATAGATGATGCATTTTCTGTTTTGTTTTGATTTATTTATATTTTTTTTTAAGAAAGAACTGAATTCTCGAGATGGAGCTTGGGATAAAATCTGTACAGAGAGAGACCCTTTTATTCTCTGTAGCTTGATGTGGTCCTGGATAGAACAGCTGAAAGAACCTATTATATCCAAAGATGATGTTGACATGCTGGCAAAAAATGGCACAGAATCACACGATGCACTTTACTTACTGAGAAAGGTAGATATTATACACGTCAATTCATTCTTTAACTGCCAAGTAATTTTGTTAATGTGTGTTAAACTATTTGTTTATAACCCTTAGGCGAGGGAATTGCACTTTTAAAAGGCAGCTTGAATCTCTCTAAAAATCAGAATGAGGATTGTTTGGGTATTGAATAGTATGAGTTGTAATCAATACTATGATGATGAATATTATAAGAAAAATACCAGAGGCTATATTTGAACAGCATTCAGTAGCATCATAGAATCATAGACTGGTTTGGGTTGGAAGGGCCCTAAAAGCTCATTCAGTTCCACCCCCCCTGCCAGCAGCAGGGACACCTTCCACTAGACCAGGTTGCTCAAAGCCTCATCCAGCCTGGCCTTCAACACTTCCAGGGAGGAGCAGCCACAGCTTCTCTGGCCAACCTGGGACACTGTCTCACCACCCTCACAGTGAAGAACTTCTTCCTAATATCTAATCTAAACCTCCCCTCTTTCAGCTTAAACCCATTTCCCCTTGTTCTGTCATTAACTGCCCTTAGGAAAAGTCCCTCCCCACCTTCTTGTAGCCCCTTCAGGTACTGGGAGGCCGCTATAAGATCTCCCCGGAGCCTTCTCATCTCCAGGCTGAACAGCCCCAACTCTCTCAGCCTGTCCTCACAGCAGAGCTGCTCCAGCCCTTGCATCATCCTCGTGGCCTCCTCTGGACTTGTTCCAGCTGCTCCAGGTCTCTCTTGTGTTGGCGTCCCCAGAACTGGACACATCACTCCAGGTGGGGCCTTACGAGAGTGGAGCAGAGGGGCAGAATCCCCTCCCTCCACCTGCTGCCCACGCTGCTCTGGGTGCAGCCCAGGACACGGTTATTGGCCTCTGGGCTGTGAGCACATGTTGCCGGCTCATGTTCAGCTTCTCATTCACCACCACTCCCAAGTCCTTCTCTTCGGAGCTGCTCTCAATCCATTCATCACCCAACGTAGGAGCTCAGCTTCAGTGTATTTCCCTGCAAATTCTACAGTTTGAGATCCGGAGGCAAAGTGAGAAACCTTTCCTCTGTGACTTGATGCATGGCTTTCGTTAATGGCACATCTGGCTGCTGTGCTTAATGGTTGTTATATTTGCTCTGAAAACATCATAATCCATCAGCTTTGGAAGAGCTGGGGCAAAGAATAGGAAGAATTTGCCAAATAAAGGATCAGAAGCCAGGTCAAATTCTTCTACATAAGTCAGAACTATAGTTATCTGTATTCTGAAATCCCCATGAAAAACAGGTACTTCTGATCCAAACTGAATCACAGAATGTTGGGGATTGGAAGGGACCTCGAAAGATCATCCAGTCCAACCCCCCTGCCAGAGCAGGAACCTAAATGAGATCACACAGGAAGGTGTCCAGGCGGGTCTTGAATGTCTCCAGAGAAGGAGACTCCACACCCTCCCTGGGCAGCCTGTCCCAGGGCTCTGTCACCCTCACTGGAAAGTAGTTTTTTCTCAAGTTTAAGCGGAACCTCCTGTGTTCCAGCTCACACCCATTGCTCCTTGTCCTATCGTTGGGCATCACTGAGAAGAGCCTGGCTCCAAACTGTTTAATTGTGCTTTCCCCTAAGGGCTCGATGCGAGGTAAATTTGAGAAAAAATATATATTTTTTAAATCTATATTTTTGATCTCTTAATTATACAAATTCATTTCCTAATTCTTCAGGAAATCTTTGTTTCCAGAGTATTTATGAAGAAAATAGGGCTCCTTTTAGCAGCCTCCAGATACCCAAGAATACAGCTTCTAATCCATAGGTGGTCAGAACTTTATATGCGGTTACCATCTTAATGACGTAACATTCAGAATTCCTGAGTTCAACTAAAAACATCGTGTTTGTTCCTGCAGTATTCTTTCATTCTATCAGTTTTAACTTTCCATTTGTATTAAATAAAAAAATAACTGCTTGACACCTGTTATAAATGAATGGGAAAGGAATAATATTTTTATTTTTCATTTAAAAATATGAATTTTAATCTTATCTGATCCTGAATTATTTCAGAATCACAGAACAGTTGAGTTGGCAGGGACCTCTGGATATCTTCTAGTCCAACTGCCCTGCTCGAAAGAGTCAACTAGAGCAGGTTGCTTGTATGACAGATGCTCCAGTCCCTTCATCATCTTTGTGGCCCCTGTCTGGACTTGTTCTAGTGTGTTGATGTCCTTGTACCAAGGAGCCCAGAGCTGGACCCAGCACTCCAGATGTCACCTCCATTGACCTGTTGGCAACTTTCTGTCTAACACAGCCCAGGATGCTTTTAAGCTCCCTTTACCACAAGGGCCAGTTACTGGCTCACGTTCAACTTTGTATGCACTGGGACACCCAGGTTCTTTCCTGCTCATCTGCTCCCCAGCCAGTCAGCTCCCTTTATGTACTGGTGCATATTTAGCTGCTCTTCTCAGAAATCTCTCAAGTTTTAATTTAATTTTCTCTGTTAAGTGACCTGCCAGTGTGGAGATCTGTCTCCCTTGGAAAAGGGATGGGAAGAAGCAGCCACAAATACTGTTGATCCCTTTATGCATCCTGGCTAGCACTGCCCAGGTGTCTTTCTGCAAACTTCCTTTAATGGTGAAGGAGACTTGATAGGACAGAGGTGCAGATCATCCTATGTTAGGTGGGGAAAGAGCCCTAAACATGTATAGCATTTTTGTCTGAAAAGATAAAATCTCACTTTTTCTGTGCCAATTCACATGGATGCTACTGTTCATGTAAAGGACCTTGATAAATAAGTCTCCAGATGCACGCCTGACCTCTTAGAAATTGCCAGAGCAGTTTGTGGTACACTACAAGAGAAGAATTTCTCCCATCGTGACTGAAATAATTATGTAGAAGCTCTTTAGGCTCATGAAAATTCCTTCCCCAACTCCTACACCTAAAGCTTTCAGTCCAGGAAGGCACAGTCTGATATTTAAACAGCACTTGACAAAAACTGAAAGTTCAATATTTTTAATGAAAATATTTCTTGTCATGAGCTGCTTTTCCTTTTACCCGCCAGGAACAGTGTCAGACTATCCTTTGTATTTTACACTGTGTGGTGAACTTGCAGATGCTACCAGCTGATGTGGAAGAGGCCTTATTTGCTCGTGCTATTAAAGCTTTCACTAAGGCAAGTAACCATTTGTCCATGACATCATATTTACTTGTCCATGACATCATATTTGTTTGTCCATGACATCATATTTGTTTGTTTTAAATCGTGAAGGGTGAATCGACACAGCAGGCCTCTGTGAGAAAAAGTAAGAGTAATCTCTTCACACGTAGTGTACTCATGCTTATCTATTTCAGAGTTCACATTTTATAATCATCAGGAAATATTCTCAACAAAACTAAATACTGTTGCTCCAGCCTTAATCCTTTAGTCTCATTTTTCTGTTTCTGCAGCACTGCCAATTCATGGACTTCTTCAAACCGGGGAAAATATAATTTTTAAGTGGTGAGAATAATTAGTCAGTGGGGACAGCTTACCAAAGGCTTTGGTAGATTCTGTACTATTTGGAGTCTTTCCATCAGCTTAAATCGTTTGCTGAAATTACATTGCAATTCAGTTATGTTTTAGGCCCTGAGTATGTGTATAAATAACCTCTGCTTTTGGAATCATTTAGTAACACTGACAAGTTAAGCTATTGCTCAGCTCAGAGCTGCTTTCTTCTCAGATTCAGCAGGTGAAATTATTTGAACAGAACGTTCATCATACTGCTTCCTAATCTCTTGTAAATTTACAGACGTGTCACCTTTTAAAACAATCATGACAAAAATTTCTCCTACTAGTTTCTTTTAATGTCTAGTTGGCATTTAAGTACTCCATCATGAAACACAGACTGTCTTTGATAAATCATAGAATCACAGACTGGTTTGGGTTGGGAGGGACCTTAAAGCTCATCCAGTCCCAACCCCCCTGCCAGCAGCAGGGACACCTTCCACTAGACCAGGTTGCTCAAAGCCTCATCCAGCCTGGCCTTCAACACTTCCAGGGAGGAGCAGCCACAGCTTCTCTGGGCAACCTGTTCCAGTGTCTGAGCACCCTCACAGTGAAGAACTTCTTCCTAATATCTCATCTAAACCTCCCCTCTTTCAGCTTAAACCCATTTCCCCTTGTTCTGTCATTAACTGCCCTTATGAGAAGTCCCTCCCCAGCTTTCTTGTAGGCCCCCTACAAGAAAACTATTTTTTTTAAAAAATGTTGGTCATCTCCTTTGCATTTTACTGTATGACACCTGCTTAACAACTGAACTTAAATTTCTCCCTTTTATTAGACAAGCTTCGATTCTGAAAACGGACCATATGTTTACGATACCCTGAAAAAAGTATTTAAACAAACACTGGAAGAAAAAAGAAAAAGGCTGAAGGAAGAAACAGAGAATCCCTCGTGATTTCTGCACAGCTATGCCAAAGAATTAGATGGGCCGACCCATGCCATTTTGTATTTTTCAGCTATTGTATTTTGTGCTCTCTGGTAAGATTTACCCAACGTTAGATAATAGCAGTTCTTAACAAAGCATTGTATTTTTTTAGAGGGAGTTTTAGTGACAGTTGTTCTATCTACACAGTTCTAAAGAACAGCTCCCACATGACCGTACTGTAGCATTTGGTTTCAGGTACTATGCTTTTATATTGTCAACTGTTCTCTTCTTTTCAGATGTATTTATTGATTTAGAAACTTCTGTCATTATTTTCAAGTTGCCATAAGTTCAGTGCCATGGTACACAAAGGTTTAATGGATTGAGTTAATATTTATGTGTTATGTATGTTTACATGAATGTTATTTGATTTTGCTTTGCTGGAAATAAATATTGACTGAACTTATTAAACTTCTTTTCCTGTTAAACGTTTTAAAATAAGACTAAGAGTAATAATGAACAGATCTAGAAGTTTACTATTGACAGCAGATAATTTTTTCCTTTAAATCTCTTAAATAATTGTCACCAATGTGTTTCTAAAAGGTATTGCAGGAGAGAAATACATTAAGTGTATTAAGTTATCAAGGCTTTAATTTAGACTTTTTTGGCTAAGAAAGCTTTAAAGTTTTTTTAACAGAAAATTGATAGCAGCATTTTAAGTGCTTTGAATAAGAGTAAAATTTTACCTTAGTAGCTAAACTTTTCTAGATCTTATTTAAAGTGAGAAAACCCTTAATTATCAAACCTTAATCAGGATATAATTCTGTCCGTACTTATGTTCAGCAAAAACTTGCATAAATAAATGTAACATTGTAATACTAAAAAATAGTCAATGAAAATCTTATTATCTGCAATACATTTGATAGGGGCATTTTTATCTAATAAGACAGAAACTTCTGACATACTGTGATAACTGCAGTTTTTGATCACAGCCTTAGGATTTCGACCAGAATGCCAGTTTGCAGGATTAACAGTTTACCCAGTTTGAAATATGCAAATAGTTAAACCAGAATCTGTCCTTTCCAAAATATTTTTATTCGGTACTGTAAATGACTAATATTTAGAGTTAAAAATAGACCAGTTTAAAATACATATAAATTACACATGCTTCAACTGTTTAATGATTATATATCAAATAGAGATCCAAACAAATATTTTGGCAGAATCATCCTAAAGTAAGCACACTTGAAAGTAAAATATTGCACAGGAATCACGTCCACGAAAGCAGCTTTCTGAAGAGGCAAGGCAGTATAACTACCAGGTTCAGGTCAGCCAGGGTGCCTTAGCAGTCAGCTCCCATCAAGGACCAATTAATTTGTGAGGACCTTTGTTTTGGCTCGAGTACATTTGCTTGGTAGAGCTGTGATGGGGCTGGGGTTGAGCAGGAGAGGCTGGGGGGCCATTTTGGGGCCAGGCCTGGGCTTCAGAGCTTGGCAGAGAGCCAGACCAGTGGGCTGGGGGGTCTGGGGGGTGTTTTGGTCACGACTCCATCTGACCAGTGCCAGGCTCAAGCTGGTGGGCACTGTGGTGGCAGGTCTGCTCTGGGGCTGGAGAGCGCCAGGCTGGTTCTTCTACAGGATGCTGGGAGGGCTGTTTGCCTTCAGCCTCTGGCCAGAGGGCAGCCGGGGCT